GGGATTAAATCCTGTCCCATCACCATGGTTAAATCAGTCGCTGCGGGGATGCATCCTGCACGGGTTGCCTGGTGCCATTGGCAGACAAAACTCGGGCTCACCTGAGCAGCCCCTCTATGGCAGCAACACAGACAGATGGAAAACGTCCACAGCAGCACGGTGTGGCTACAGCCCTGTGCTGCAAACACTCGCTGTCCCTGGCAAGAGATGAAGGATGTCTAAGAACAAGTGCTTGGCATCCCACCACCACCAACTGGCAGAGGCAGCAGCAGAGAGGCGGCGGCAGTGCGCCGAGCAGCACAGAACAGAGGAGCAAATGCTGGGGACTCAGCTGCTGCTGCTGCTGCTGCTGCTTTGCCCCTCCTTACTGCCCACTCACAACATGAGAGCCATCCTGCAGCTGGGGCAGTGAGCCCTCTTTCTTTCTGCTTCGCTGTATTGGTACAATGGCTGCATCTCCCGATTGCAACAGATCCTGCTCAGCTGTGTGGGATCCCACTCTGCAAAGCTGAAAGTCTTTCCCTGAGAACTGGAAGGATTGTCACTGAACCCACATTGCCCTGGAAGAGAATCACCAGGCTCATCCCAGGCCTGGGCTTCCCTCCAGTGCGGTGCTGGGGGTTTGGGCAACTCAGGACACCTTTGCAGCTGTTGGGGTGAGCAGAGAGTCCAGCAGGGCCCCTCAGGGGCAGTGCTCGCATTGCAGAGCAGGTGCTTGCAGCGAGCACAGCTTTTTATCCAGCTGCAGCCCTTCAGCTCTCTGCTGCAAGGAGAAACCCCAAACAAAGCACAGCTGCTGTCTGCACCGAGCAGGAAGTGCAGAGATCCCAAACTGAGATTATTCAGAGCAGTGAGAATCTGATACCTGCCCTAGAGGAAGCTGAGGGCTTGGTAACCAGCAGGGTGTGGGGAGTCATGCTATCAGCTGTGGCAGAAGCGGTCAAAGCAGCCACTTGCTAGTGATGGAGCAGCTACTTGGAAGATTTTAGGGAAAGCCAATCACTTTCAAAAGCAGCTAATTACCCAGGCAAGCGGGAGGCAGAGGCTTTGAGGCCTTCCTTGCTCTTGGGTACAAGCGATGTATTTTTCTCCTGGAGAGACAGATATCACTGTCTTTCTCATTTCCCCTAAACAATCCCAGCAGATCACATCTATCTTTTGCCTCCTCCCAGAGGAGGCTCTACCACCTCTCCTGCTGGAGAAAAGATGCTAAAATAACATTGCTCAGCACTGCCAGGAGACACAGTGCCCAGTGCCACCGTGGTGTGTGAGCACAGGGGCACAAACTTTGCAGGACACACTCAGAACAAACCTGTGGCAAATGCTGCCATCCCCAGGAGCAGAGCTACTGCTTTGGCAAAAGCAGCAGACACAGCAGCACCACAGAGCAGCCATGCAACTGCTGAAGAAAGAGGAGTGCCTATGGAAAGAGGAATGCCTATAGAAACATTTCTTCATAAGGAGCTGTGCTGAGAGGGCATTGCGTGGAGCTCTCAAAACATCTTCATAGGTGCTTCTGCAATCAGCGCTCTCAATAATCCTCTTGTAGTGAAGGGTCTGGTTCTGGCTGTCAACACGTTGCTATGAGTTCTCTCCATTCCCCCACAGTATCAGGACACAAATCCTCCTACATGGCCCAGACCCAACACACTCAATATTGGGCACTCATTGGTTAGGAACACACCAACTGCAGGCTGCTCCCTTCGTCAGTGGGAGCTGCTGGGACAGCCCAGCCCCCAGCCCCCAGGATGTTCCACAATAACTACAATGCTTGTCCAGGTGCCTGGTGGGCAGCAGGACTCAGGGACTCTGTTTGCTCTTGTTGCAGCTGAACAGGAAAGCTCTGGGCTGGAAACCCAAGGTGCAAATGCACAGCAACTGTCAATAGCTCTCTGCAAACAGCCATTGGTGCCAATGTGTCCAAAGCTGTGAAGCACACAGCTGGGAGTGCAGTGCTGACACATTTGCTGCGTGTGGGCAATTAACGGCGATGTTTGCAAAAAGGCCTCCTCAATGTTGGCAGCTACCAAAGCACCCACAGCAACTGTGAAAAGAGAAACAGCTGAACACCAGGAGTGGGCAGCGCACCTTCCCTGTCTGAGCATCCATGCTCCCTTCTGGTACAGCATCTCACTGAAAGCTGCCATCAAAGGCCACCAACGTCTCTTGCTTGCTATGAAGTGAATGCTCAGGGGAGTGGGATGGGAGCGGAGGCACAGGGATGGCAGTGGATATGGAACACTTCAAGACCTTGGGGATCAACAGCATCTTGCAAAGCAAGGCCGCAAGATGCTACTCAAATGACTTTGCTTTATGGAGAGCTTCACTTTCTCCCCATGTTATCTACTGACCTACACTGATGCCACCACCAAGCTGTGCATTCCCCTGCACCCAGAACCTGGCAGCACTCTGGGCCAGGGCATCTCACATCGTTGGCAAATGTCACATTGCTCATTTCCCAGTCTCTTGCCATCAAGAAAACCACCAGCAATTGTTTTGTCCGCAGTCAGGATCCAGTGTCGTTTATTTACACCACTTCAGTATTAAAACTGGGTTTGAAGGAGAATTTTTTTTTTTTTCTTTCTTTTTTTTTTTTTTTCTGCAGCTGATAACGGGATGCTGCAGCGATACACACGAATATGGATCACGGTGACTGAACCTGCTCGCAATCGAGGCCCGGTGCCGGTGACGACGGGAAGAACGCGATCAGCACCTGTGCGTGGACAGCGCCGGGGCGCCGGGCCGCGCGGCAGAGCAGCGCTGAGGGTCGCTGCTGTCAGAAGCATTCGGGAACGCTGTTGGCTAAGGAAGGATGAGGTGAGGATGCTCGATCAGGTTTTCTTCTGTCGTCTGGCATGCAGTTTGCTTCGGGGATGGTGCTGGGTGGGTCCCGGCTGAGTCCTGGTGGGAGCAGAGTGGCGTTCTCCTGTCCAAAAGATGGAGAAAGCCAAGTGCGTTTTGGTTTTTCAACATTTCCTTCCAATTCAGCTTAGAAAGATAGACCTTTCCCATGAAGATGCTTTTTGTGATGAGCATTTCTTTGAAAAACAGGAAGAGGTGGATAAGCAGAGCCTGCCCTTGGCCCTCTGGGCACACGATCAGGGACCTTGTTGGAAGCTCGGTACCAGGAAACAGAACCAGGCAAAGAAGGAAATAAGACTCAGGCTAGATGACAAGGAAATAATTTATTTCCAGGTCCATGAAAGACCTTGAAAAAAATAACAAGGGTGAGAAAATCAACCTCCTAATTTAGTTTGGATAGAGAACTGTGGCAGCTACAGCTCCTCCTGCAGTCACCAGAGGGCCGAGCGCGGGCGGTGCAGCGGAGCAGTGCTTTGCTGGGCCCTGCTCTCCCCGTGTATTTACATGGGGGATGGAAATGAAGACGCAAGCGTGCGTGCATGCGTGTGGGAGGACAGGCTGGTTGAGGATGGGGGAAAACCCAAGGGGAAGGTGGCTAAACACGTACCCTGTCAGACCCCATCTCCTACAGACAGAGCCCTACTATTGCACAACACTTTTGCTAAAGGAAAGGCCGGCTCCGGAGAGGTTTGGACGCAGCTCTTTAGCCCAGAAGGAAAACAAGTACACATTCCTGAGGAAAAAGAGGGCTTTCTCCATACTCCCGCTCCGGGAATCAGGGCATCACTTCCCATCAGCCCTGCTACCTCTCCAGCATCATCACAGTGAACCAGCGGCACGCCGAGTGCCTGCAGCCTCCTTCACAGGGACCGGAGGACCCTGAGCAGTGAGCAGTTCCCAGCCCTGCAGGAAGCTGAGTGCAGCGGCCACAGGAGGAGCAGTGCAGATGGGGGCTGTGGGGCAGGGGCATCCCTGCACCTCTCCACTGCTGGGAGTCATGCTGAGGCCCGAGGACTGACACCAATGGCCGGGAAGCAAAACAGCATAAAACAAACACGCATCTACATTTACGTTCAAACCTTCTCCAAGGATAGAAAACATTGCCTGTGGCTAAACAAAAAGGACAAACCCAATGACAAGCCCAAGATGTGTCAGACCTTGGTAGACCTTATCAGTTACCTATCTGTATCATTGATTGTTTTCAACACGGACAGATAAGGAGCCACAGACCGCGCTTTCCTCCAGCATCATCTGCAGCTGAGAACAACTACATCCCTCCTGCCTCCTCCCAGTGCACCTGGCAGAACCAGAGGGTTCCTGCAAAGCAGCTGTGCTGCAGGGGCCCACGCGGGTCGCTTACAGGGCACCGCCGCTGGGACGGCACCGTGCCCCCACAGCAGTAGGGCGTCCCCATCTGTCACTACGGGGCCACGGGACACACCGGGATGTTGCAGCCAGTGCCTACAGCACAGGAAGGCAGGAGAGACTGAATCCAGTCACCGCCATTCGGTTAAGCACAGGAAAGGTGTCAGAGCTGAGAGGAGAAGCGATTGCAGCTCAGCAGAGAAGTGCGCTTTGGAGTGAGCTGCCGAGCAGCAGTCGCTCTGCGCAGGATGAGCCCGCGGAGCCACAGCGTGAGCATCCCCTGCGCACAGAGAGGACTCCAAAAAGTGAGCAAACGTAAGCGAAAAAAAAGCAGAACAGAATTAAAAGCTTGTTTCCCTCTGCAAGGAAAGCTCTTAAAGAAATCAAAGCGCTCCAAATGCTCTGAGACTCAAGTGACAAAAACAATTTAAACAACAAAAGGCTCCCGGTTTGCTCTTCTCCTCCTGAATGGGCCTCACTGAACGGATCTATTTAAATGACAATTTGTGGGGGACAACCCCCCTCCAAATGCTCTCGAATTAGATTTTTTTCCCTTTCTTAAATTAATGTGCAGTGCTTTAACGGAGATCAGCATTAAGGAGATTATGACGGTCACAGCGCTCCCGCGGGCGCCCGGCGCGGTTGTTGTGGCACAGCTCCGACCGGGAGCACCGCGAAGGAGCGCCCACACCGACCCCCGGTCCCAGGGCACAGCCCGTCCGGCACCGCCGCAGCCCCCCGACCCACTGCCCCCGGCGGGTCCGGCGGTGCCGTTAGGACTCCTCGCTGTCCTCCTCGCCCCGGCGCCCCGCGTAGAGCGCTGCCAACTGCCGGAACCGCGGCCCCCAGCCCCCCAGGTAGGAGAAGTCCTGCTCCGAGCCGCTGGACCACGTGTTGATGGAGCTAAGCGAGGGAACCGGAGAGTCGGAGCCCTCGAAGGCGTAGGTCTGGAACGAGTCATAGGGCGGCACGGAGAGGTCCTCGTCCGCCTGCTCCACCTTCCTGCAGATGTAGTCTCTGAACACGGAGAAGTCCAGGTCCGGGCTCTGCACCCACTGCGGGAGGGCATGGCGCTCAGAGGCCGGGTTTCCTCCCTCTCCCGGCCCCCCGCCCCCGTCCCCGCCTTTGATCTCACTGAAGTCGTAGAGGCTGCGCAGGGCGGACATGTCGTAAGCCTCCGTGTCCTGCTCGCCCCCTCCTTCGTCGTTGTATTTAATGACATTGTCCCTCATGTCCTCGTCGTCCTCGGATGTCAGGTGGCTCTTGTGGTGTCGCTTCAGCGTGAGGATCAGAAGCACCAGCACTGGGGGAGGAAGCACAGAGACTGTCGGAGCAGGCAACGTGCTGTGCAGCAGCAGCACGCTCAACCTGCACCAGGGCACAAAGGCAGAACCCCTCTGGCACAGGGCGCACCGGCAGCACAGAGCACAGCCCCGGCGGCTCCCACCAGCCGGAGAGCAACAGTTGTGCCACATCAGCACCTGTGAGAGGTGCCGGCTCAGTGCAGATCGGGAGATCCCTCTTACATGCTGCACAGCCACTGAGACGGGAGGGACAGATGGATGAGCACACGGCTGGACAGACAAACGGATGGAGTCTGGGGAAGATGCATTGGAAAAGGGGGGGATGAATCACGGCGGCAGCCAAATGTTGTGAGGGCAATTGTGGAGCAGATGGCACGGAGCATGAGCAGCAAGCCACAGATGTGTCCTGGATCATCATCCATTCAGCCCATCACCTTTTAAGCACCGACGTGCACTTTATTCTTTTGGGCAATTAGGCAGAAATTTGTTTGCACTGCACTGGAAAATGAAACCAGTGTAAAGTGCCCCTTATGAGAAAGGGTTTTCTAAATGGAGATGTGACAGGAGACGGGGAACCATGCCATGCCAAAGAGAGGGGACTCCCCTGAGCCCTGGCAGCCCTCAGCAGCCAGCTGCAGGCCAGCCCCGCTGCTGAAGAGCTCTCAGCTTTCCAGCTGCCCTGCGCTGAACCGGAGGGCACTGCAGCATTATCTCTCCAGCCCCATCGCATTCCCACACACAGACAAGTCCACACTGCTCTGCTTCTCCACCCTGTGCCCCAGTGCTCCAGCACAGGCAGTGCCAGAGCCGATGCAGCATCCCGGGCAGCACTCACCGACCAGGATGAGGATGCACACCAGCAGTGCGATGAGGGCGCCGGGGCTCAGCGTGGCTGACATGGCGTAGGCAGTGCTGTTGCAGGACTGGATGGCCCCGGTGCTGTCACAGCCACAGACCCGGATGGTCAGCGTTCCTGTGCTGCTGAGGGCCGGGGGGCCGCTGTCCACCACCAAAATGGGCAGCAGGTAGACGTCCTGCTCCTGGCGATTGAAGCCCACTCTCTGCGTGTGCACCGCAGCTGTGTTGTCTGCAGGGAAGAAGTAAAGCCACAGCAAAGTCATTTCCATCATAGAAACAGCAGGGTCAGTATGAGCTGCTCTGCTCATAGGATGAAACCTCGGGGTGCAGAGAGGCACAAATTATTGTCCAGACACCAACTCCAGCGCTCACAGCTCAGCTAAGCAGGGGCTGTGCACCTCTAATTGTCCCCAGGCCCAAGAGGCAGAGGGAAGGAGCCCAGCCCAGCACTCCCTGGGTCCTTTGTAACTTGTGCAGGAGCAGGCTGAGCTCCTCTGAGCCAGCAGCTCCATCTGTTCAAATGTGGCTGCTTCAAGGGCTCAGCAGCACCACTCAGTACCATAACAGCCACTGTGTGACACACCAGGGCTCCGGGGCCAGGGGTGAGCCTGGGCAGCCATGCACCACCCAGAGCATGGAGGATAAGAGAAGGGCCTGGGATCAGCTCTGCTCCCTGCTCACCTGTGTGTGTGCCACTCACAGCCGGCCAGCAGAAGAACCAGATGGACAGCAGAGGACTGAACAGTGGCTGAACAATTGCGGCCAGATGTCAGAAGGTGCTGCCGACTGTCTGCAGACTTTATCTAATAAAACGTAGATCGGCCTGTTTGCAGCAAGGTGCTGCTGTCTGCAGCCTCTCTCCTCATTGCTCCTGATTTATGTTGGACTGGCCCCTTTCTGTATCAATCAGCAATTCGATCGGAAAAGACATCTATTTTAATCGTGGCTCTTGGGCCGACTGCCACCACGGAAATTGCTGTATGGATCGGTGCAGCCTGGGAGCACCGGGGCACAGAGGACAGGAGCCACATGTAGGGCAGCGGGGCGGGCAGGATGCGGGCAGGTCGCAGGGCACTGCGCTGCAGCCAGGGCAGAGCATAGCATGGAGCTCAGCTGGCATGGCTGTGTTGCTGGGGATGGCTGGGATATAGGCATAAAAGTGGCAGGAAAACATCATTTCTCTTCCAGTTCACGTGAGAATGCAGGTCTGCCCTGAAGAGCTCAGCTCGCCTTCCAGCTGGGGAGAGGCGTGGACGCTGGGCAGAGGACCACACCAACCAACGTTCAGAGCTGCACTGAATGGCACACAGCCAGGATTCAAAACCAAACCTTGTCCCTCCATGCAGAGCTGTGCTGTGGTTTTCACTCGCAGAATTCCTCCTTTGGATGTAGCACCTTTCATCCACCAACAGAATTTTCCAGGTAACCTCATTCCTCCCTGCCCACAAAGCACGTTTCAGAAAGGCAACCACCCCAGAGCCCAGATCACAAGGCAGCAATAAGGCGATATTGCACTCAGATATTGCAGGGCTGCAGCACGCAGCGCTGGCTCACGCTTCCCAAACCAGAAAAGATCCAAGTGCTGCAGTGTGGGCAGCCTGCACAGGGCAGGGGACTGCCTGCAGAGCAGTGTGCTGCTTCTGTGCCTGCAGGCTGTCTGGGGTCCCTGCCCTCGGGCTGCAGCACAGCTGTGACTCCAGGCACAGCACAGCCCAGTGCAGAAATGAGTGGGAGGGAGGAGCAGAGCAGATTCCTATTCCCTACCAAGGCTAAGCTGGGAAAAATTGAATTGTTATGCTAATCGTTTGCACAAAGGTAACACGATCTCATTCGGTGCCGCTCCCTCAGCTTGCTGCAGCGTAGCAGGGAGATATAAATAACATTAATGGTGCTATCTCAGCGAGAGGCCAGGACCAGCTCCCAGCTGTCCATGCTGATCGCAAGCACTGGGCACCCAGAGATGGTGGAGATGTGGTCACGGCAGCTCAGACAAGGCACCACTCCCAGATCTGGCCCACCAGTCCCCTGCACCATATCCACCCCATGGGACCGAGGGAGCAGCCCCAGCGTGCATCTCCAAATCTCATAGCGGGGGGCTGAGGAATCCCCTTCAGTCTGCAGCCTGCTGAGAGCAGGGCCTGCCGCGCAGCACTGCATGCTGTGTGCTTAGAAATGGTCTGAGGCAATGAAGGGGAAATAGACATGCAAGTTGCAGAGGCAGCTGCCACCCTCAGCTCGCTCTGACAGCGCTGCACCACCGAGCTCCGCACCGCCCAGTGCGGGAGGGAGAAATATTCTCATTGCTGAACCCACAAAGTAAAAATAAAGCAGCAGAGCAGCCAGCTCCGTGTGAGAAACCTCTGCTCAGGAAGGGGCTGTGCAACTCAAAATGGTGCATGGGAGAGACAAAAACTACAAGCACCAAACTATTTCAGTCATCACAAAGCAACGGTTTTCTTTTCTAATGGGGAGACGTGAGCACGTCCTACTGGAGGAAGAGCCATAGAAATTGCATGTGCACACCAGCGATCTTGCTCACCATGGGCAGACCCCCGTCAAGCCCCAGCAGTGCCTGCATCCAACTCCTCCACCTGCTGTCACCCTCGTGCCCCTCCCAGCACCTTCTGGATCCCTGTTCCTTGCACAACCCTCCCAGCTGCTGACAGGAGAAAGGCAGCACAGGGTCCAGGAACACGCAGAGATTTTACTCCATGCCACACGGTATCACCTGATGCAATGGTCAGGAAGCAGCACCTCTACCTGCTAGAGGAGCAATCAAAAAAGGCAGAAACCAACGTGAGCAGAGCACAGGGACCAGTCAGTGCACGGAGAGAGGAGTGCTTAGGAATGCAATATACACTGACGGGAGCATAACACGACTAGGAATAATGAAATAATTATGTCTCTCAGACTCCCTCTCCAAAGAGGCTCTTGGCAGCTTCAAAGACAGAGCTAATAAATCCTTCTCATAACTCAATCTTGATCAGCACCAGCACAGCAGAAGACAGTGGCCACCTCTGACCTGGGTGCTGCTATCTGTGCCCTCTCCCACATCTCAGTGGGTGCCCACCTTTCCCTTCTCTGCTTCTGCTCTGCAGCCTCCGTGTCCCATTCCCGGGGGATGCAGAGTCCCTGCTGGGACCCCTTCCAGTCCCAGAGGGTGCAGCTGCTATGAGAAGAATCCCTTTTTCCCCTTTGCCTGTTTCTGCTCTCCAGTTCTCTGAATGCCAGGCCACAGCACCACTGCTGCTCCTTTGCCTTTGGCTCAGCCCTCGCAGAGGTTCGATGCCTCTTTTTCACCCCAAATCCGATCAGCATCTGCGCCGCTCATGCTGAGAGGCATCCCTACAGGGCTGGAGGAGGCTTTGTCTATCCTGAGGCAATCCCCAAATCCTAACATTTTGCTTTTGATTGCAATGATTTTTAGATCTTCTATCAGCCATTACAAGCTCTTAATGAGACCTGCAGAGAGTTCTGACATCTGCTTGCCTAGCCCTTGAGCTCCGGAGTCAATAGCTCCATGTGTCGCTCCATATTATCTACCACCCTTCCAGGTTGCTGGGCTTAGATGCTCTCTACCGTCTCTTCCAATACAATTAGCATTTCTTGGAGAACATGATTTCAGGATTTAATTGCCTTTAATCCTTTTGTAATCAATTTTCTATGGCCAGAAAGGCCCAGCAAAAGGTGAGTTAGGAGTCACAGCATGGTGAATGGCTTTGGAAAGGCACCGGTTGAACCTGGGCAAGGCCAGCTTCCCCAGCACTATCTCCTCTTTTGGGCATTTTATTTGCTGAAGCATCTGCATTCCAGATTGGGTTCACAGCTATCACAAACGACGTTTCATTCACATCTAACGAATTAGCAAGTGCTCGAGCACTCACTTGGACAGGTCGAGAGCAGAAAGCGAGAGATGCCAATAGGAAACAGCGCTGTTTCTAAAAGCCTGAGTCCTCCACGCGGCTCCAGCGGTAATTCAGCTAATGCAGAACGTCCTGCAGGGTCACCTTTCGCTCTTACATCCCTGACCTGGCATCAAGGCAGCTCTTGGCAGCGCAGGCAGCAATGCGTGCCACTGGGCGCTGATGAGCGGGGCTGCAGGCGGTAACTGCAGGCACTTTGCAGAAAGGACTGCAACAAGAGTGTTCCCAAGGGGACGCTGGTCCCTGGGGACACCACCCTCCCGAGACAGAGAAGCTTTCTGCTGCCTGGTGGGAGCCGAGGGAAGAAGGTGCAAAGCGAAAAATGAGAAGGATTTAAGCGAGAGCTTAGCGGATCCATCTGTGCTGACATCCATCAGTGTCACTCTTTGGCTGCAAAAGCAATATTTATAAATCACGTTTCAAAACTGGCTACAAATTTGTACAAAGAAACAGATGGGCTGGTGGTAGCAGTTTGTCACCACTGATATTTATACGGAGGAGGAGAGATAAGTGGAAGAGGGGCGAGGCAAGGGTGGGGGGCAACGCGGAGTGCAGTGGAGGAACCGGGGAGAGGAGGGGCACAACCAGGGCTTGCTATGGATCGGAGGAGTCAGGGCAGGGGGAAACCAAAGGGAGATGACAGCAAAGCACACACACAGCAGAAGTGAGGAATGCCTCCATCTGCACAGGCAGCCACCGCCTCCTGCTGTGGCAGAAAGCACCGCTTGGCAACTGGGAGGGTCTCCAAACACCCTGGGAATAACCCTGCAGCAACAGCATTTGTTTACCGAGAGCAGAAGGCGGGAGGTGACGCCAGCTTTTACTCATTTTATGCAGTGTTGCACCACATGCAAGTTTGTGGGATCATTTAGCACAGAGGATTACCCCGCGTGATGAGCGCGTCGTCCCACTCATGAGAGCAGCAGCTCTGGGGGGGGGGGCACATCCTGGGCCCTCTTGCAGCTCTGCCCTGCAGCACTGGCTCTGGGGTCCCTGCCCATGAGCCCCACTGCACGAGCAGGGCTGACCCCAATGCTGCTGGCAGTGGAGCAGCCCCTGCCGAGTCCCAGGTCCCTCCAGCAGCGATCCCAGCAGGACCCCAGCCTGGGTCCAGCACAGCCCGGTTCAGAGCAGGCACTGCAGCCCCAGAGCTGACATTAGGGTGCAGGAAGGGATGGACCAGCATGGAACAGAGCCCCCATATGTTTTCCTGAGGTCAGGGAAGGAAGTTAATCGCTGGGCGTGGGGCAAAATCTTGTGGAGGATTAAAGCTTGCTTACATGCTAAGAAGCAAAAGTCTGGTGACCAGCCGCCCTATGAGTGCAGGGGGGGTTGTGGGTCAGAGACAGCTGTGCTTTTCAGGACACAGACGATATCGGTTCTTCCACAATTTTGTTGGAAGTTCTGCTGCAAGCTCTGTTTGAACAACCCTAATAATGCCAAACAGGGAGAAAGCCTTGCTGCACAGTCTGCTGGCCCCCACCTGGGTTGGTCCCTGTGGCAAACACACATCTGGCTGGAGAAGACCCCACTAGCTGCAAGGGGCCTTGCTGTCCTTAACTGAAATCAGCACCTAAACTCACCAAGAACACCCACTAAAGACAGGGAACAGCATGATAACTGCCCTCCAGGACTGCCACCACCCACACAAACATAGCCTGACTGCTGCTCCCTCCAGCATCCCTGGGGCTGCTCCCATGGCCACTGCCCATCTGCAGGGCGCTGCCCAGTTACCCTCATGGCAGTCTGGGGCTGACCCACACTCTAGGGCATGCTTTGCAGAGGGATGAATGGTAATGCTGCAAACAGGCATGTGTTCATCTCCTTGCCTGCAGGCAGGTTGGAGATTTCACACCAAAGAAGGGACCACAAGCCCTGAAAACACAGTGAGCTGAGCACACTGCGCTCTGCAACAAAGGAGGAATCTGGTGGACCCACTATAAGAAAATGCACTCAATGGGCCCATCTCAGAACGAGGAGCTGTAGGGATACCTATGAGCTCCTGAGCTGCACCCAGCACAGCCACAGCCCCTCACACCCACCAGCAGGGCTTACCCTTAACATCCAGCAGAGAAAAGTGGTGGTTGTTGGTGGCTTCAGGTGCCAGTGTGAAGTAGAAACGATGACCACCTTGAGGCTCATCACGGTCCACAACGCTGATTGTCTGGATCAGCTGTGGGGAGAGAGCAGAGGTGAGCACCAGAGCCGCCCCACAGCCTCAGCGGGGTCACGTTTGAGGGTGTGAAACAGTGGAGCACCACAGGGACCAAACCAGCCCCTGCCCTGCATGCATTGCTGGTGGCACAGAGCTGGCACAGCCCTGGGAGAAGGGCCGGGGGCTGCTCACTACCTGGCCTGGCTTGGCGTCCTCACACACCGCAGCCTCATAGGGGGTGGCGAGCTCGGGAGGGTTGTCATTCACATCCAGGATGCGGATGCGCAGAGAGGCTCTCGACACCTGCGAATGATTATCTGAAACAAAGGAGAACCAAAGCTGCAGTAGGAAGTGCCATCTGCTGCTGGTAAGGAGCAAGCCCTCCTCATCCCATCTGCCCATGGCTGTGGTGGGTCAGGCAGCTGCTGCCAGTGCTGAGGTCATGCTGGGTGACCTCTGCAGGTCGGTGCTCTGCAGGACCTGCTTGGCCTCACTGCCCGTGTCTCCCAGTAAGTGAGCCCAATGCTGGGCTGTGTGCCCAGGACTCCCAGCAATCTGCTGTTAGCCCATTCTGCCCAGCTGGGAGCAAGGCCCCACGGTCAGGTCAGAGCTGTGGGTACCGCAGCTGCTGTGGGGCACACGCGCAGAGCCTGGAGCCACACGCACAGCTCTGATCACAGCATGTGCCCCAGGGTGCCCTCTCTACCAGCAAATCACTGTGGAGGGTCTGATGTTTCCTGAAGCTCTTCACATGCTTCCAGGAATGAGGAATTCCTCGTTCTCCATCTCCGTTGTTCCACCCAGAGGTTACAGCTCAGACAGACCCAGTGCCTCTCCTCTCACAGGCAGGAGCTCTGCTGTCTGTTTGTCTACAAAGTTAATACTGTCCCCCATGTATCAGTAGAGGAGGACCCAAGGGAGGGGAGATTTAACACTGCTCCATAATTAGCCAGGAACCTGAGCCCCCTCCTGGAGCTGCCTTCACCTCACCCGTGCATTATCACTCCCTCTCACCCAGAGCAGCTGCTCTGGTGATTAGATGGTTGCTTTTGGGGGAGGGAGGCAGAAGTCGTGACTAAAAGCCTGGAACACCGTGTTATTTTAAAAAGCATGTTGGTGCAATGAAACAAATGCCATCACTTCCAGGGGGAGAGACAGTGGGAGGCAGTGGAGCAGGAGGGAGTGGGGACCCGGGGGCAGTGCTCTGTACCCACTGGGGCTGCAAAGGATCTGAGGGGAAATCAATTCAGCTCCTGCAAGGAGAAGGGTGACAGCACTGCTTCACCATCCTCAGCTCACTGTAGGAAGATGGAGACCCTTACTTCAGTGCTATGGTGCAAGGAATCTGGCACTGCCCTGCTGAGAGGAGAGGAGACAGAAAGAGAAAAGAGGAGGCAGAGCGCAGCAGGAGCAGCCCAGGTCCCCCTCCTCCCCTCCCCAATCACATTCCCCCAGTGCAAGAGCAGATCCCAGCACTGCCAAGTGCTCCCAGACCCCCTTTGATGCAGCCATCTCCAGGAGTACCCAGCTCAGCAGTGCAATCTGCTCCTCTTTATTCCAGCGGTACCATGATCTATGTGAAGGCTCCTCAGTCGCTTTCCTTATAAACCTCCCCTTCCTTTCAGCCAGCACCTGAATTTACAGGCGTAACATACGAAAAATATTTGGATGCGTTTGATAAAAATATCTCCAAACCATCTTTGAAACACCCTTCCTGCGGCTGGCGGAGCGTTAAGTGGATTTATGACGGTCAGAAGCGCGATGAGGAGCGCATGGCGGTGATGGAAGGCGCACAGCACGCTGCAGTACTGCCAGCATCACTGCTGCATCCCCAAAGCACAGCTGTGCAGCACCTCCACGTGCACAGAAACGCTCCCATCCCTCACATGAATGCTCTCTTCACCACCACCAGGCAGAGCACAACAGGGCACTGTGTGCCGCAGAGGGACTGAGCGCGACCGCGGAGGAAAAAAGTCATTTTCCGTGGCAGTGTCTCTCCCAGCTCAGCTGACTGACATGCAAATTAGTTTAATTATTTCTTCTTCTAAAATAAATTATATTTTGCAGTGGCTGCAATATGTTGTGTCAGGCAAAATTACATTCAATATTTTTAAACTAATTGATGTCAGCCTTGAGAAAACCTGATTGACAGCAGCGAGGAAACCAGGCTGCTACCTAAACGGTTCCCTAAATTAAAATTAAACATGTCGGGTTCCTGCATTTCCTCCAGGAGTTGGAATGCTATTAATCTGAAAAGACTGAGGAAAGAGACATGGAAAACACGTGGAACACAGGGGAGATGCTGGGAACGCAGCGGGTGGATGGCTGGCAGCTGCCTCTGCCAACCTAGGCCTGATGGTGTGGGAGATGCTGCATCACGAGCTGTGCCATGCAGCTCCATGCTGCAGCACCTCCCCAACAGCTCTGCTCCCTGTGCTGCCATGGGAGCACTCCCTGGGCTGGGTGTCATCCCAGGGCTCCACTGCACAGCAACACTGAGACCAATGCCCTGGCTGAACTTACAGCCCCAAGTGGCTTCTTTAATTCAGTTAGCCAGGAAAGCAATCATGCAAGGGACCCGGGCTCTGCCCTAGGCAGAGGCTTCCAGACAGCTGCCAGCGGGATGCCCCACTGCTCCACAAGCACTGGGAGCTGTGCGGATGAAGATGGCAATGATGGGAAGAGGCTGTGGAGATGTTCGACCATCCCCTCTGCAGCAGGAAAGGAGGGCAGTGACAGTTGCACTGTGCTGGGATCCAGCTGGTGCCTCTTCAGACCCTCATGCAAATTCACGATGAAGTGCTTTGGACTTTCACAACCAAACCTCTGTTATGCAAACCCAAACCCAGCTGTGCTGAAGCAGCTGTACCATTTGCACTGCCCTGCTGTGTGGCCACATCACAGACAGAAAGCTGCTCTGCAGCGTTCCTGGAGCCCAAAGCCCAGCTCCAGGAAAGCCACTCGGGCTGCAATTGTGGCTGCAGCACTCCTTGGGGTCTCTGCACTGGGCACAGCACACAAACCGCTCTCTTCTGCATCAAGACCAAATTGGTACAATACTGAATTCAGAATTTTTACATCAGTGGAGAAGTCAGAAGTGCCAGGAGTGGAATTTTAATCCTCGCCATCTCAGCAAATTGGGAGAATAAAATGCAGACTGGGACGGACCGCTGCTTTCCAGCTGTGAAGCACAGGGCAGCTCTACAGCTGTCAGCAGAGCTGCGGACTGTGGAACGCAGCACAGATAGCAGGGACACTGCAGGGGCTTGGCTGGGGCACAGCTCCTCAGACACAGGGCCAACACCAGCAGCTCGGGCTGACGACGCAGCTCCAGGGAAGCAAAATGGAAACAACAGAGCAGCCAAGTAACATACAAATGGCTCTCACCTCTCCTGAGCCCTGCCCAGACTCAGCAGCATGAGAGTCATTAAATCGCATCCAAACACAATGCTCTGATTAAAGCCAGTCTCCAGCAGGAAGATTTATCATCTCAATTACCAGCAGTGGACACAGCAGTCAAGGCCTCATCATTTTACATGAGCAAAGAGGAAAACAGGAAGAGAATCACTAATATTAGCCCAAGGAAGGTAAACAGCTTGTGAGTGAGATGAAGATTTATTTCTGGGAGTGCTTGGCCTGGTCCCAGCCCAGATTTGCTGAACGGTTCCCATGTTTCCCGCTGGCTGCACTGCTGCAAGGCCAAATACTGCGCTCAGCAGCAGCCTGCAGGGGCACATCAGGAGCCTTCTGCTGCTTCTCTTACTGCTCCTCGGATGCAAACAGTCTCTCAAGTTATCTACAGGTGGGGCATACCCCCCTGGATGTGGTCTCTGTAGCAGGAGCACCTGCTGCTAGGTCTTGTGCAAATCTAAGCAGCCAGCCTGGCCACAGGAGCACATTTTGCCAGCTGGCACGTTCCCAGCAGCTGCTGCTTGTTAAACCCCCGCAGGGCAGCGCTGCCAGGGATGGAAACGCAAGATTCAGGACACTGCACCCCAGCTGCTCACCGGGGCACAGCTTCCCTCCAGCCCCAACCAGATTCAGAGCTGGGCACCTGACTCTATAAGGCTCACATCTCCACCAAAGCTGACACTGTACCTCAGTTATGGATGAATACCTGCTGTGGAGAACGGCTACACACCCCTAGGCAGTGCCATGCCAGCCTCAGCATGGGCATTCACATGTGTGCCACTGAGCACACACCAGGCAGCACTGCTGCAAAGCTGTGGGGCACACACTGCCAGCACAGAGCCCCTAACTGCCCCAGGGCAGTGCTGCAAAGCTGTGGGGCACACACTGCCAGCATAGGGCCCCCACCTGCCCCAGGGCAGTGCTGTGATGCCCCGCTCCCGAGTCCCCCCCCCGTCACTCTGAAGGCCTTACCTTTACAACTGCCCTTTCTGCCTGAGGATTCAGACATAAATTGTGCTTTAAATTCAATATCAGTCATTAATATTTCATGATTACAAAACGTTAAGGATAATGTCACGGGGAGGAATGTCTGGGCAGTTAAAATGGATGAGTCAGAGCCCGCTGATGGGAGAAGTCGAAGCGCTGGAGTCTCCCTGGCTTTGAAGCGATGCAGCCTGACAGGCGCTCCTGCCTGAGGGGAGCTGCAGCATTTACTGACTTGCTCTGAAATCTTAGATGCCGCGTATAAATATTTTCCTTCTGATTCTTGTCACCTCACGTTTCCTCTGGATGCTGAGCACCATCAGCTCTCCTCCCCCGGCAGCGGGGCAGTGCCGTGCAGAGCTCACCCACCCCTGGGCACAGAGCATCCCGTGGGGTGACAGAGCCACAGAGGTCCCAGCCCGGGGCAGTGGGGTCTGCCAGGTCACTGACTGCCCTTGCTGGGGCGGCCTTAAATGAGCAGATCATTGCCACGATGACCATTCTGCAGCCACAAGGAACTGCTGGGCCCTCAGCCAAAGCCCTGGTGCATTGAATCTGAATGGCATCTTCCTATTCAGAATGAGCAAAGAAAAGGGAACCAGGAACCCTGTAGGGTGTGTCAGAGAAAAGCCCAGGAAAGGCTTCATCGCATGAGCAGGTTTTGGCAAATGTCCACGGGAACTGGGAGGTGTTGTACAGCCAAAACACAAAACCTGGCAGAGCCTTTCTGCTTCCCAGCACAGTGCCTTGGATGGAAGTCAGTCTCCATCTTAAGGCTCATAAAAAGGAACACATGGAGAATCTGAGTGTTCCCTAAGGTCCTTGGGGACCCAACACAGACCCTGCACCAAAGCCCTGTGCAAACATTACAGGGCAGCAGGATGCCCAGGGCAACCCTAGCATCTTCCTACCCTCAGCACAGCACCTGCAGGGAATCAAAGCCTTCCCTTTGCTTCTATTATTTTCTTTTCATTCCTCAAGAGGAGTTTATTCAAAGCTTCTTTGAGCAGCAGGACCAGGTTTGTTCTTTTCTTTCTTTACCGGAATAGAAACGGCAAACAGAACTTCTGCTGGAAACATCCAAGCTGGGCTCTATCGCCTCAGGATCACGCAGACAGAGGGAAGATCAACCAACAAAATCCTTGCAGCCGCTCAGCTCCCTCCTGCCTCTCCCAGCCTGGTGTGAGCAGATCCTGTGCTTACTGCAAGTGCAGGCCCTGTAGTGGCACAGCCATAGGGAAGATGGCCATAGGAAATGACCATCAAACTGCGGTCCAGCCCAGATGGCTGCTCCTCTGCTCACCTGCTTCCATTGCCAGGATGGTGATGTTGTGCCACCCCGCCGTCTCCCGGTCCAGGACCTTTCCTGTCACAATGGCACCCGTGTTGGCATCAATGTCAAAGATCCTCTCTGTGTCCGTGCTGCGGTCAATGGCGTACCTGGGTGCAGGCAAGAGGGGAAAATGTGAAAAACGGAACGTGCCAAAGGGAGCCTTGGTGCTCTGTTTGGAGGCAGGGCTGGAAGGGAAGCCCAACCCAACCACGGCCATCAGGTGCAGCCGTAACACAAATAACCACCGCCGCCGCCGCGATCGGAATTAGAAATCCAGAAGGCCTACAAATCACAACAATGCAGCATAATGCTATTGTGTACGGCATCTTTCATACGCGCTGCATCCCAGAGCGCTTTACAGAATTAAATAATACAAGACAGCAAAGAGCACAAAGGATAAATTACCGAGAGGAGAGCTGGGAATAAATTAAAGCCTTCGGTCACATGTCCAACAACAGGAGGAAGATGAATGTAGGGACAAAGCAAGCTGGAGAGCTGACAGACAGGGCAGGGCTCAGGGCAACCCCAGGCTGGCAGCATGCTCAGGGGTGACACAGGCACTCTGCGTGGCGGCTGCTCCAAGTGCCTGAGGCTCACAGTGTGCAGCTCATGGTGTGCAGCTCATGTGCCTGGCACTCCAGGCATGGCCATGCTGCACAGAGCCATGGGCAGCCTCCTACCTCCCATATCCAGGTCCAGGAGGGAGTCAGCTGGGGGGCAGGTCACCTCCCATGTCACCCATCCACACAGCTGAGCATCCCTACCTGATTCAGGGACCCAAACGGCACACCAATGGCTCCGTGCCTACAAGCCCTCCCTGTTACACAGCACCAGATTGCATTCCTCAGCTCCCTCCTTCTCAGGCAGACGGGGGTGAGAATGTACAACAGCATTTGCTTGTAGTTAAGGGAAAATTGCTGTCTAAATCTCACTGGTGCACGTGCACAAATGATCATGTTCCACACCTGCATGTCTCTCTTCCCCTGGAGGTGACGGGGATCTGTCACACAAAGCCCAGGCATCACCAAACCACATCCCAGGGACTTCCCAGCCCTCCTGCATTTCCTGCCCCATTTCCAAGCTGGAAATGGAGCATCTATGAACATGGAGCCAAGGGACAGTGACACTGGCACATACTGCAGCCTCTCATCCACTCCACACTCACCCACTGTGAAGGGACAGGAGGGGTCTGGCAACCCTTGCAGATCCAACATTGTGCTAGAAGGAGGAACAGAAATCGGGATGACGAAATCTGCTATCCTTCCAATAGCACAATTGATACATTTGTGTAATTGCTCCGATTGTTCTCCCACAGCTGCTGACCCCTAACACGTCCTGTTCCGTGATCACATCTGGCAGCAGCTGCCTGCACGGCCAGAGGGTGCAGGGAGCACCGTGGTGTCACCGGTAAGCACTTCTTGTGCTTCTAATTGCTTCACTGCTGAGCTTGTCTTCTGTCATTTCAGAGCTGGCTGGGAAGGACTGACTGCCCACATCCTACAGCAGGACACAAACCGGAGCAGAAATCTGATCCCTTTGTCATTGCTGCTGCACTCCTCAGTGCAATGCTGTCAGGAGACAGAGCTCTGGGTGCTGCCTGCGTTCATCACTGATGTGGGGCTAAGATTTGAATGTGGCCAGTCCAAGTGGACCTACAGCCCTTCATCTGCTCCACGTGGCCTTCCCTTCCCAAGGAGTTATGGCCACCCTCACGGAGACCAGGGCTTCCAGTGGGAAGGAATCCAGTTCTACTCAGCTGATGCCATATTGCGTAGTAGGATCTTTATCAACCAAAGTCTGTGCTGCCCTCCATCAGTCCCATTTCCCCTTCGTTGTCCCACTGATGTTTTGCCCAAGGAGGGACACCATCATTCCCATGTCTTCCCTGTGCTCAGGGGGAGGATGCCACTATATTCCTTGCTCAGCTGCTGCTGCTCCATATCTGGAACTGCAGTGCCCAGCTCTGATTGGGATGCAGACCTTGTAAACCATTTTCTTCTCCTCCTGCTGGCACTGCCTGTTGGTCTGGATGTTACAAGAGACTGTTTAATTTAGACAGCTTTCTCGGTGCTCATCTTTCTCGTGAATGCATTTCTCAAGCAGTTTGTTTCACTTCTCCCTCTGAACGCAACGAGGAGCACATTTTATGCCATGTGTTTTGTTAATAGCGAGCTTTTCAACCACTGGGTGAAAAGCTTTTTGTTATGTTTGTTTTTTCCTCCTCTCCCTTTTGTATTGAAGCGGGTTGCAGTTCTCGCTGTGCTGCTGGACTCTGAGAAATGCCCATGTCCAACACGTGCCTCTGGATTTGCTGAATGCCAGACGAGAATATCTCTGAGAACCTTAAATCCCAAGCAACGTTTTCCCAGTGCTGATAAAGCCTGGGATGCACGCAATCAGAGCACAGGCTCACTGCAGAGAGAAAAACAAAAGGCTTCCATCCAAACAGCCTCACACACACACAGCACATCACCGTATTACCTAATACAATGGTTTGGATGAGAAACAGTGCTACGTTCAGGAAATACACAGCTAGCGTCAAAAAGGCAAATGGGAACTGAATGCTTTCTGAAAAAGAGTGCTTCTAGCTTTTGTCAGGCAACAAATAAGGATGGAATAAAAAAAAAGAGCACCGTTCTCTCACACAGCGCTGCCCTGCTGAGTCCCTGTGCTCCCCACAGGACACACAGCCCATGCTGAGCTCCAGATCCACCTGGCAGCACCGTGGCCCTTCTGTGCAGCTGCAATTGGGGGCTGCTCCCCCAGAGACGTTGGTGCTCTGTGGGCACCCAGAGAGAGCTGCAGTGGGATCCTCGTGCAGCTGGGGTGTGGCACAGCCTTCTGTGTCACCTGGGGATGGATGCAGAGAGACAAGGGCACCTCCTGTCCCACTTGGCTTAAAATACTTCCCAAACCTCGTTACCAGCAGCCCGGTGTCAGCAGGGTTGGAGAGCTGATGGTGCTGATTTTTGCTGGGCTGTCTCCGGCGGTCCGTCTTCTTTCCTGCCTCGAGGGGACAGCGCATCTCGGCACAGCAGAAGGTGTTGGCCTTCTCCTCTGTACACGGGCTGCGTTCCAGCTCCCACCTCCAGCAGACAAGGATCAGGAACTTAAAGGGATCCACTGAACTGCACCAACTTGAAAGGCTTCACACTGACTTCAAGGGGCTGAGGATCAAATGCTGGTCACGCTGTCAGGACCGGCTGCTCTCTCATGTACCAGAGGTGAAGTACAAGTGCTGGCTCCTCGTGACTGTGCTTTGAGCTGCACACTTGAGATGCGAGGTGATGTGCTGCTGTCTCTCACTGATGGGTGGTGGCACACCCTGGCAGGATGCTCGCCTTCATCTTTGGGTGCTGCTTTGAAGCTGCAGGCGTAGCAAAGCCTTTCATTAAGCCACACTGCAATTCCCTGCCTGGAGTCCTGCTGGCTGTGCCCTGTCCCTGAGCACATGGCATTGCCACACCTGGCACCGAGCTTGCTGTATGGTAACGTTTGGGCTCTAACCCTCCTGCTGTTCCTTTGGATCTGCTCCTCTCTGCTCCAAGTCCTCAGCATTCTGCACAGCAGTAGGAAGCCTCTCCTCTGCCTCTTTTTGTTCTGTCTGCAAATATTGCAACAAGCTCCATGGGGAAGGGCACGGAGAACAAGAGTAAATAAGGAGGAGACTTCTGTCCCCAAGACACCTTCCCCACATCTGCAGATCACAGAATAGAATCTCCATTCTGTAGCACTGCTGGAAACGTGTCAGTGCAAAGCACAGGTACTGTTGTATGCACACACTGAGGTCTCTACCCGCCATCCCAAGGCTCTGCCCCAGTTTACTGCAGGCAGGGATGGGCTCCGTAGAGAGCCCTCAATGCAGAGCCAATGCTGCTCACTTGAAGTGAGGCTGTGTGGAAGGTGCCTGCAGCCCCGCTGTCACCTGGCACAAGAACACACATTTCAAGGAAATTCTCCACACGCTGAGGATGTTTTCAGAACACCAGCTTTTCATCCCGACTGCTCATGACTCAGGCCAGTTGGCAGAGCCAGAAGGCTGCTTTGTGCCTTAGGTAATAACAATTTAACAAGGTAACAATCTCTTTAGCCACAAATTAAATGGAAATGGGAAATGTCCTGTGCAGATAAGCCGCTGCCTGGATTATGTCCCCTGCCCAAATATAACTCCTCTGATCTTTGATCCCCCTGCACGCACGCATGCGCGCACAGCTGAGCTCTGGCTCCGCACTTCCCAAGCCTCACCTCATTTATCATTCCCCATCGCTGCCCGCTTGTCACTCCTGCTCGCTCGCCTGGCCCGTGTCAGGCTCCACTGCAGCTGCCTGGCTGTCAGCACAAGGACACGCAGGCGTCACCCAGACACCTTCCCCGGCACTCCCTGCCACTCACAAGCCTGTCACTTGCCCACGACACGTCTGTCACCTGTGAGATGGTGGCTCTAGCTTGCCAATACCCATGCACAGACTGCTGCTCGCTGCCTGCTCTGCAGCACACACATGAAGCACTCATCACTTGCACCACCTCTCCACTCCCACTCTGCCACACGTGGTGGCCGTGAGAACCCCACACTGTGACCCCCACTGCCAAAAGGGATGGGGACACAGAGTTGGAGCAGTGCTTTACCGCACAGGATGGTTCGCTGTGTCCGGATCGAGGGCGGTGACCACCCCCACGATAGAGCCAACGTGAGCATCCTCCTGGACCTCCATTGTGTTGGAAGGGGGCCAGAACTCAGGGGGCTCATCGACGTCCAGCACAGACACCCGCACGATGGTCTGGTCCCGAAAGGTGCCCAGGTCTACAAACCGTGGGTCCACAAACTTGTTCAGGGCCTCCACCACCACGGTGTGCACTTTTTTTGACTCGTAGTCCAGAGGCTGAGACAATAGGAGAGAAATTAGTCACAACTGGCCCAAGTACCCCCATTAGCCACATCCAGCCCCAGGACCCCCATTAGCTACACCTCGTGTTGCTGATCAGGTGTGGGAATTAAGTAGGCATGTTTCTGCTCCTAACAGGTGCTATCAGCAAGAGCTGTAAACACTGCTCTCCATCACTTTGTGCACCTCTCCATCTGTACACTGCTCTCTCCCAGGAGCCATGCAGGCAGCAGAAGGCACTGCACTGCTGCTCCTTTTTAGTTTTCCCTCCCAGAAACAGGTCTGTGCTGTGCTATCTAGGCAGAACAGGTCTCTTCCTGCATCTGCAGGCACAGAAATGCTACTGCTAGAGCTGCACTCAAAGGAGTGTTTGTTTATTTCAACTCAGACGCAGTAGAAGCCCACAAAGGAAAGGACCCTCCTGGAGATGCCTGCCCTCCCCACAGCCAGCTTTTCTCCTCACCTTCTGGACGGTGATGACAGCCTCCTGGGTATTGCTGTCTGTGGTGACTTTGAACATCTCCACCCCTTCCTCATCCTTCATCTGATAGGTCATGTCGGTGTTCTCCCCGACATCAGAGTCCTCTGCCTTGACTCTCCCAATGGCAGTGCCTACAGGGGCAGTTTCTACGATGCTGAACTGATACATCTCTAGAGGAGAGAAAAGCACCAAGGTCACGGCTCTGCCTGCACCGTCCCCAGCCTGATGCACATCTTTGTGTACCTACTTGGGACAACTCTTGGGCCACAAGTACTGTCCAAACTCTGCCAATGTCTGTAGTTCAGAATGTCCTGAGAAAAACAAACCCCAGCCAAAAACAGGGGCTGCAAGAAGGGAACTGGGGAGAGCTAATGCTTTAAAGAGCCAGGTAGAGAAAGGGATGATTTTTCTACACAGACACAACACAGCAGTGCTGTCCAATTCTTGGCAAACTTCTCCAATTGTAATTTCTAGGAGAAGCAGCTAAAGAGCTGAGACACCTTCAGCTGCAGCACCCTCGGCTGAGGGAGTCCCCCCATGGGGCTGCTGGGCAAGGACACACTGAGACCCAGGCACACCACTGTGCGTTCTGCAGTGCTGTGCTGCTGCCCCGCAAACATCCCGAGCAGCAAGGCCGGCTCAGCCTGCAGCCACACACCAGGCTGTGCCAGGAGCCCAACAACACGAGCAGAACTTACTCTGTGGGAAGCGTGGTGGGTTGTCATTGACATCAGTGACCACGATGGTGACGGTGGTGGAGCCGGACAGCCCGCCCAGCTGTCCCGCCATGTCCGTGGCACGGATCACCACCTCGTACCGGTCCTGTGTCTCACGGTCCAGGTCAGCCACAGCTGTCCGGATCACACCTGGAAGTGGGCAGTGGAGTGAGTGCAGGCACATGGCAGAGCATCTGCAGAGTCACAGAACAGGTGAGGCTGAGAGAGGTGGCTGGGGGGTACCTAGAGCTGGAGCTGGAGCTCCAAAGGGGGCCAGCTAGATCTCCCAGCCTCTGCTCATACAGCAGGCACTCTAACACTTAACTAACCCTCATAGTCCCAAATTTGGAGGAGGTCTGTGTTTTCCTCCAGGGAAGCCAGGAGCAGGGTAAAGGGTTGGTGGGAGCCAGCTGCACACTGTGTGGAGGAATGCTATGTAAAAGCCCCTGCTGAGTCACGAAGCCCCTTTGGCAGCAATCTGCAGCAGTCCACTTATCCTTATCTGCTCAGACAGGAGCCACAGGAGGATGAGCACAGCTTCCAGCCATGGGAGGACTGGCTGCTGCAGAGCAGTGCAGGAGGGATGTGGGGCAGAGCTGCCCACTCACCCGACCTCTGCCATCCCAGAGGGTGTTCCCATTGGTGCACAGATGCCCTCATTTTCAAATGTGTCTTTAAAATGTGTCTCTAAGTTAGGAGACCAGGGAAGCTGTCAGTGTCCTGGGGCTGAGAATGCACTTGAGACAAAGCCAAACAAAATGCATGGTATGTTGCTGCTTCTTTTTTCCTTCTAGATTTCACTGCGTAAAAAGTCTTTTCAGGTTTTCATTCATCTGAACAAGGAGAAATGACCAGGACTAAAATATACAGCAATGCAAAACAAGAAGGAAAGAGTAGCGAAGCCCAAAAAACATTGTGAAAGCAGAAGTTATGACTTTCTATGTCAGCCAAGATGTTTCATTTACATGGAAACAAAGCACAGAGAAACATTTTGAGAATGAAAGCAAGAAAGAACCCACTCTGCCCTGGGGTGGCACCAGGGGCACACAAGCATGTGTACATGAGTACAAGGTCATTAGTGGTGCATTCCCAGCCCCACTATCCCAGCAGCAGCCCAGAGCAGCTTTAAATCCCCTCCAGCTCGGTTTCGTAACATTCCACAGATTTAGCCACTGCTTTCTGTTTTTGTAATTGCTCTCTTCCAGGCTTTTCTGATTAACTATTGGCTTTACCTCCCATTACTGCAAGCCTTGCACATCCTCCTTTGCTCGGGTTTACCGAAGCCCAAATGGCAGACGCCCCGCCGTGCCCTGTGCAGCCTGCAGCTATGGGGCCCGACCTCCTGGCAGCAGTGGACAGGTGACAAGAAGGAGCTGCTGGTGGTGTGGCACAATAGCAGTCAAATGTCACTGAGCTGAAAGGAAGAAAGGATCTTTTTTCCTCCTCTGCACGACATGCGGGTGCAGCAGTAGCTGGCAACGCTGCTCTGTAGATGTTTCTCTCTCCTTGCTTTCTCAAACCAGCAATTATTCCAACAATTATCGTTGTTGGGATTTATTATAAAGGCATCACTGCCATTTCGGATGCTTGCAGCTCCCCGGCTCTCACGGACAGACACAATCTCACCCAGTTCTCTCCAGTCTGTCATTTCAGTTCTATCATTATTTGAACTGTCACCGTCTTCAGCCCCATGAAGGCTTGTCCCCTATTCCTTGGGCACTTCCAGCTTCTGCCACAGGAGAAAGTCTCAGCCCTCCTGTCGCTTGCTCACCAAGGCCCATGCCAGCACACGGGTCAGAAGCACGGAGCACAGCTCCTGGCAGGGCACATCCCAAACCTTCTGCACAGGGCTGGCCTCAGCTGGTCACGTTTATGGGCCTCCCATGTCTCTGCTATGAATATAAAGCCGTTATTTCTGGGCAAGCGCTATCTCACTGAAATTTAAGCAATTCTGTTAATTAACGGGGTCTGAAGCATTTTATAATGAAAATGATTCATGTCAGCACAGAGGTGATGAATTGGGATGAGAGAAAAAGCTCATGTATTCACCAAGAAGGTAATGACTTAACTGAGCTGCTTGTAATGACACAGCCCAGAGTACCCCGTGTAAGACGGGAGGGAAGAGCTCAGGCTTCCCAGAACACCACCAAGGTCGCTCGTTCCAGTGGGGAACAAGTCCGGGCTGCCTGCCATGCACAGAGCAGCACTAAGAGACAGCAGCAGAGCCCTTCTCTGGGTGCACAGACAGAAGAGAGAGGGACCTCTGGTGCTGCAGACAGAACATGGAAAACCTCATTGTCATCTCCTAAGATCCACAAATTCACCTTCTTTCCGGCCAGAGAAACTGCCAAACATTCTCCTTCCCAAACTCTGCCAACACAGCAAGAACAACCTCCAGCTCGCTTCATCTCCCCAGTTCTTGTCAGCATCTGTTATAGTTGAACAATACAGACACATGGTGGCATACCCTCCGGTACAAGGCACATGTGGCTTTCCAGCATGATCCAGATTAATCACTGTAATTACCAAGCAAGGGGACACTTGCAGCATCGCATAAATTGCACCAAATCTGCTCAATAGCAGACACTATTTGGGTGACAGAAATAAAGCAGGACAAAGCACTCAGCAGGTTAAGTGTCTTCCACTGCCAATCCCCTGCCATGGGCAGGGATACCTTCCACTAGCTGTTTGCTCACATTAGTGAGGCCCTACAGAGAGCTCTGGAGGATGGGCTCAGCACTCTCACTCTTCCTTTAGCAGCTAAATCCCCCTGGTCATTTAACATTCATTCCCATTGCACGTTAGTAAATACACCCTGGTTTCCCTGAGACCAAACATACCATTTGTCCCAAACCAAGGGAAGTTCTTTGAAGCACCAGTTTTGGACAGGGACTGCCAACATTCAGTCTCACTGATGGTAGCAATTGCCTCAACTAAGCCCACGGGTGGCTCTTCTGCAGACACACCACCAGAGTCTTAGGATGGTTTGAGTTGGAAGAGACACTTAAAGGTCATCCAGCCCAACCCCCTGCAGTGAGCAGGGGCACCCACAGCTCCATCAGTGCTCAAAGACCCCCAGCCTGACCTGAGTGCCTGCAGGGATGGGGCACCCACCTCATCTCTGTGCCACTGCCTCACCACTTCTGTCATAAAAACCTGTTCTTTGTCCCTGTGCAGAGCTGCGGTGTATAATCTTCTGGGATGAGGCATGAACCTGCTAAAACCCATGAGAGCACAGAGACAGGTCTATCCTGGTACCTGTGTTCCCAGGCACCAAGAAGCATTGTTAACAAACTGGCAAGAGCAGCAGAGAAACACATTCTGCCTCCCACCACTGCATCACAGTGACAGCTCATCAGAACAGCTCTCCACGCTCCCAGCAGCTCAGCTCCCACCCCACCAGCACTACCCCAGGACTGAGCCTGTGGTCTCCAGAGGTCTCCAAGCAACAGTGCTGGCAGCTAAGGATGAAACAACTCATGACTACATGCAATAAAACAAACTTCCTCCCAGCAGGACAGTATTTCTCGTCCTGCTCTCCCCGGCTTGAGGACCTCTGAGCCCTTGCTGGCTGAGCCTCCAAATCAGGAGACAGGCTCTAACTCAGGAGTTGTTTTAAGTAATAAGAAATGCCAGACTGCATTCCAATTAGCCTTCAGAGTCCTTCTGTTTTTTCTCTGCATGCAGCAGAATGACAGATTTTAAGAACAGCTTCTTATTTCCAGTAAAGAACAAGATGCACATACAATCTCCTAAGCTGAGCTTTTAGGGAAGCAACAAACACAACGAGGCTGGGGATGTCACCCAGAGCATCTTTCTGCGACAGCCAATATCCCCGCAAAGACTGCAGCATGCTGAGAGGCAGCCTCCCCAGTGTAACAGCAGAAGTGACCACGTCCCAACAGCAGCAGCAAAGCACCGTGTGTGCACTGACTGCAGCCTCCTCCAAGAGGAAGGAGGCACCCTGTGGCTGCTGCCACAGAGCAGTGCAATGCAGCTCTGAGTGACAAAGAGCACGTGAAGATCAGCTGCACCCTACTGGCACACTGAGAGTGAATAGGGAAGGCAGCACAAAGCCTAAATAGAACAGATGCCTGCAGGGTCCTGCTCATCTCCCTCCAAAAAGCCTTCCAAGACAAGACACGGGATTTCAGGCCTTACCGAGCTGTAGGACTGAGCATAGCATGCTCTGCTGGTATACTGGCAGGTTAGGTCCTGCCTTTGAAAGCTCTGTCAAATCCAATGCACCTGCTGAATGCTAACGCTGATAACAGCCAGGAATGAGAGACAAACTGAGCAACGTACACACAGTGTGCATCCTGCATCCAAGTGTGCAAATCACACCCATACACACAACAACCTCAGTATGAAGTACAGCCAAAGACAAAGAAAAGGAGAACTGGAGCTGGAAGGAGTCATAGAAAGACCCAGCTCCAACCCCCTGCTGTGGGCTGGTTGCCCTCTGTCCCCTGGATCACCCATAGCTGTCCAGGCAGCAGTGCCTGCACCATAGGCTTAGGCAGGGCATGAGGGAGCATAGGAGTGTGTGGACCTGCAAGGAAAAGTGGAGGGGGAGGTCGAAACCAAACAGGGAAAACAAATTGCTCTTCATTATCGTATATTATGAGAAATGTAACATTCCAGGTTTTTATGGTTCTTTTTATGGCCATTAATAACAATGGTGGCTTTGAAGAGTGATGCTTCTGCTACGGATAATTAAATCTTATGCTCAGGGAAGAAGCCCGGCCACCCATAGCGGGCAGGGCAGGACTCCCATTGGAACAATAAAACCTTTCCAGGTTTGGAGGGGGAGGAGGATGGGGTTCAGCAGTGGGATGCTCCAGCTCCTGACTGGTGCCAAAGGCAGACACAGAGATCACAGCCTGCTCAGCACGGCCAGCCCTGTCCCTGCCTCCTCCAGCAGCACAGCCACACACGGCACTGCTGGCAGAGGGGCATACAGCTGCACTGCCGTGGAGCTGAGGATGGCTGCTGCAGACTGTCAGCAGTTTTGCTCTTACGAATCGCAAGCAGAACCGTAAATCAACCCCAGCGGTGTATGAAACAGCCAGTGTATGAACAGCCAGCTTGAGAATTAAGACACAAAAAGTCAAGGAATCCAGAAGCTTGGTCTCCTGGAGTGACATTAATTCTCACCACAGTCCCACAGGGCGCATTTTACTTTATGCCTTAATACGGCAGCATTAATGTTGTTGCAGGGAGCTGAGCCTCTGCACGTCCCGGCTTGTGCATTTTGCTCCCAGTGGTCCCTCTCCATTCCAGCAGCCCCGTTCTCAGCCTCCACTCACACAACGCTGTCTCAGACTAGCAGGATCCCACACACACTTGAGTTTTCAGTATTTAGCTCGTTGTCTCCTCGCAAATGAAAGGAAAACCAAGCAAATGTGGGAGAGAAGGCAGCCAGGGGCAGATCTCACCAAGGTTCCCTTCGGTTCAGCAATAGGGTGGGGGCACTTTGCAGCCCAGCTTTCCAACCAAAGCTGCAGCTGCTCGGTGCTCTCGTCTTTTGACAATTTTTCATTAAACTGAAGGTACTTTACTGCATGCTTTGTACCTTAAATATCTCTTATTAGCATTTGAGTGTCTTCCCTCCTTAGAAAGCTTGCAAGGTTCCCATTAAGGGTAATGAGAGTCACACTCCTGGGAGGCAAGGAGAATATATACCCCAACATCTCCCGGTTATGGTCTACTCTAACCAGTATGTCAGAGCATCATCTGCTAGGGATTTATTAGAGATGCATTTTACAACGGGCTCTATTATACGTTATTAAGGAATGGAGCAGCTTCCACTGTTCTTTCATTAAATATTAATAGAGCATTTATAAACCGCTCCTTAATTTGAAGTGTTACCTTTAATCAAAGCCCTGGCGATAACAACGTGGCCTTTGGTAAAGCCCCTCTGGTAGCACTTCAACCTTCCCCAGATTTTACGTGCCCACAGCTGCGCTCACTCTGCAGTTGGTGCAGGTGGAGGGTGCAGGTCTGGCGGCTGCAGTTTCCCCCCAGCCCTGCTGCCCATCCCAACGCTCCGCCTGCTGCTCACAGTGCAGACACACGTTGCACCCCCAGGATGAGGTGCCCTGCAGCTCCCTGGGTGCTGCTGCTCACCTGTTTTGCTGTCCACGGTGAAGTGCTGCTCGCCCTCCAGCACGCTGTAGACGATGCGGGCGCTGCTCCCGTATGTGGGGTCGTCGGCATCGGAGGCCATCACCTGCATCACAGAGGTGCCTGCAGCAGGGATGAGAACAAAAACAGAAGAGAGACGTGGATCTCTTAGAAGGTGCCCTGAGGACATCCAGAAATACGGCCCCTTTTGTCCCACGGAGTGACAGGATAATGGGACTGTGGGCCACCTCAGAGCAGGGCACGCTCTCCACATCAGCAGGTAGCTTTGCTCCCAGCAGTCATCTCACATTTTAGGGCAGCTGCAGGGGAGGAAGAGCTATTGCCTGTCCAGAGCCAGGCACTGCACCGTGTCGTCATGCTCCACACGTAGCAGGGCAGAAGGACCATAAATTGGATAAAAGTCCATCAAATGTCTGCAATTAAGTTATCGATTTCCAACACTGCCTCACTAAACTGGGTGCTTCACTCCAGCTGTCCCTGAGATGGCTTTAATTTGACATCATGTTCAATTTGACTGAAGCAGGACCCAGGACATGAGAACGGCCTCAGGAACTAAAGAGCTGAAGTCCTCAAAGGCGACAGAAATAAGGAACTGTTAATCCCACCTACAGACAGCCCTGAGAAAGGAGAAGATCTGTGAGGGTCCACCTCCAGCAGCAGCCTCCTGAGGGGCCAGACCCATGGATGCTGCTCCCAGCCCTGCTCTCCAGGCACAGCACAGCATATGATATCAGTTTCCTGACCCCACGAGAAGCACCTCATCCTGCAGATCCATGTACCCTGGATGGATGCCAGAGGGCAGCAGTTCCATCTGAGCGACCTGGAGGCTACAGAAGGGGAAAACCCAACTGTACCAACAATACCATTCACAGCTTCCAGGGCAGTGCAATCCTCAGCACATGCCCACTTGCTGCCCCAGCTGCTGCCAGATGCACACAAGAGCATTTTGAGCATTTTCTATTAAGAAAAACCCATCAGACTGCCTGCAAGTGTTCTAGCTGCACGTTAAACAAAGTCTTTTCCTCTGCTTCTAGTGTGGAGATTAAACAATTTCTCTTCACAGTAATCAGTTTTGCATTCAGCCAGCTTTGCGATGGAGCCAGAGTTTGACCCCGAGTTCCTGTCTGCACAGCCAAATCATCTCTAATCTTGGTGCTACACAGAGAAATGAAAGCAAAATGCACCGAGGGAGAAGAGCTGTTCTGACAGAAAGATCCACATTTACCACCATGCCAGCTACCAGTCGCTCTGCGTGCTCCCCAGCCCAAAAGCCAGCTCTGGGCTATGCAACCTGCTCTGTGCAGCAGAGATGTTTTGCAGGAGGCAGTGTGGATTTGGGCTCATGCCTGTGTGCGGCAGACAGCTGTTAAGCAGACCCCAGGGAGCTGAGGGAGAACACAGCTAATTTTAGCATCTCCTGTTACAAGGTGAAACTCCTGCCGTTCCCCAGCAGTCGGTTGGGTCCATCCTACCTTCTCTGCAGCTCTGGGTCTCCTCCTTCAAGACTGACTCAGCTCAGCTCAGCCCTTTGGGGGTGATGGGCAGCGGGGTGGGCACCCAGCAAGGGCTGCAGCCTCAGGGCTGAGCTCTGTGCAGGAACAGAGCACGGGGCCAATGTGGAGCACTCCCAGCCCCCGTGCGGGAGTCTGTGCAATTCCCTCATTATTTGTTATTCCCTCTTAGGCACCGGGAAGTCAAATGACTTTCCCTCCCAATTAGTACTCCTTCATTATGCAAATAATGTCCTTTGATCTGTTCCTGCTGTCACAGAGCGGATCTGACCGTATTTGTTTTACTTCTCTTTATGCTCCAGGAAGGGACCCACCTCCGGGAGCTGGAACTGCGATTCTGGCAGGGAGCTGCAGCTGATTGCTGCCACCGGAGAGAGCAAAGCCACCCACGTGGCCAGCCTTCAGCATGAGCCCTACGGGGGTCCGGGAGAGCAAGAAGGGGTCACCCTTCACTTCTCAGCTCAGGTTGCAGAGTGGCAGAGATGGGGAACGAAGAGCAGCTCCCTGCAAACCACACCTGAGACGGAGAGCAGCCCTGCTCCTCGAGTGACCCATCCCAGAAGAGAACAGCTGAATCAGAGACATTGGTCATCCAGGAAAATGGAGCAATGGACAAGCACTGCCAGCAGGTCCCCAGCCTTTGACCTTGATGTCACAACCAATTCCAGCTGCCCAGCCTTCCTGACCCTGCTTTGCCACTACAGGGGGGTTGCCCTTCATCCACACCCAAAACGGCAGTAAGGCGTGTTCTCTGCAGCTCCATGCCCAGCGGAGGAGCTTGCAGCAACACCAGGTGAAGGTGCTGTGAGAAGCAATCTCTGCTTGTTAGCTGGGCTGCTGTGGAGGAGCCCCTCCACCTCGCGGGCTGGCCAGGCTTCAGAGGGCTTGGAGGCTGCCACAGGCAGACAGACTTCAGCCCAGTAAACTCTCAGCTCCAGCTCCCCCCGCTCTGAGCATGCAGCTTGGAAGCACATCCCACGCCGTTCACAGCACTTCTCTTTACTTTTAACTTCTGAGTATTTTAATTTGCAGGAATCGCCTCCTTTCATGTTGTGAAACCGTGATTCTTTCTCGCTCTGATCTCCAATTTCGCATAGAAACTGTCTCCTTTGATATGTCTTGTTCACATCAGTCTGTGATCAGGCAGCTCCATAATTGTTAACGTTTTTTAAAGAATTGGGATCCTTGTCTAATACTCAGAGTTGAAGATTCTTTGCTTTCTAAAAGTAGTTCAAGCAAAATAGATTAATTTATTTCTTCCCCTTGGGAATGGGATGCCTCCTGCTCTGCTGCCCACATGATGCCTTTCATTGCTCCAGGAGCATGTGGCTGCAGTTCAAGGGGTCACCATCTGACTCAGGAGAGGATTAGTGCAGGTAAATGGAAGAGGATGGAGAGCCTGGGGTGCTTTGGGACAGTCTGCTCCCCATCCACCAACAGGAACTCAGGCAGCAGCTCCTGCACACCTGCAGCCACCCCCAGCTCAAGCAGTGCTGCATCCCCTCTCCGTGTTTCTCCCGGCACTGGGGAGTGCAGCTCAGTGCCCGCTGCCATCCTTTGCAATGGATCTTATAGCACACACCCCACCTGCAGCTCAGCACTGCACCAGGCTGACAGTGGTGTGTTGGGGGGGGGCAGGCCAGCGGTAGCATGGAGGAAACCACTTCTATTACAGGCATGAATTTCCTGACCTCAGCAATACTGGGCCTCTCGCAGGGAAGCCAGAAAGTGGGCAAGACGGTGCAGCAACACTGCCCAGGGATGCTGAAGGGGATGGAGAGGCAGCCACAGGGCTTTGAGGGCAGCAGGGAACAGCGAGAGCAGGCACTGAGACACAGGGGGACAGGCAGTGCTTGGGTTAATCCAGAGCACAGGTAGCCACAGGCTTCTTGTCACATAAGGGCTCATTCCTACCCCTGCCCACAGCACCTGGGAGCTGAGGGCTGAACAAAGCCAGGGCTGAGGCACAGCGGGCATCTGGCACCTCCCTGACCCATCCCCAGGGCACAGCTTAGGGCTGGGGCTGAGCACACAGCCACGGGCTGGCAATCAGCTCAGAGGATTTATTCACTTGTTTTTCCTTAAGCTACCTTATTTATTTATCCCTCTCGGCTCCTCAGCTCCGCTCTCAGTGGGAATCCCTATGATTTATAGCCTGGTTTGTGGGGTATGGCAGGCTCAAGGTTTAGTGGCAGAGATGGAAGCTTCTCACCCACCAGGACACCTACCAATGGGGGACAGCTCAGCCACGCTGCCGATGTAGGGCCCCTCCAGGAAGCGTGGCTCGCTGTCGTTGATGTCCTGCACTTTGATGATGAACTCAGACTCGGGTTCCAGCAGCTGGTCAGTCTGCCTGTCCCGGGCCTGAGCCCGCAGTGTGTAGAACGTTTTCTGCTCCCGGTCCAGGCGTTCGGTGGCGTGGATGTCACCTGTGATCTCGTCGATGAGGAAGATGGTCCCCGCGCCCTCCCCGGAGATGGTGTACTTGATGGAGCCGTCCCCCTCATCCGAGTCCGAATGGATCTGCCAGGAAAGAGCAGAGGTAGGAGCAGCAGGGGATGCTGCACATAGGAGGGCACGACACACAGAACCATCAGTTCTGCCTTTGCCACTCTGAGCTTGGCAGGTCCCAAACGCTGCCAGTACCCACTCACACGACAAACCAAGCTGCGGATCTCGCCACAGTGAGGCCAGGAGATGTATGGGAAGGACAACTCACCAACAGCCCCCTAAAAAGAGGTTACCCCATTGCAAGGACTCAAGATCCAACGCGGGGCCGTTTCTCCCAGGCTGTGCAGCAAACGGGGTAGGAATGCAGCTCAGGTTGGGGTTATGGAGCCCATGGCAGAGCTGACGCTGCCAGACATCGCTCCTGGGCAAAGCCTGCAGTGAAATGAGGCGAGACGGGCTGTGCTGAATGAAAAACAGGCCCTGGGGAAGGTGCTTTTTGTAGCCAGTCTCCGTTTCATTTTCTAATTAAGACAACATTTGAAATTAGGAAAAGAAAGGGTAAACAGAAGCTCCTCCTGGACCGGGAGCTGACTGGAATCCAGGCCAGACGTCCAGAGATAATTTTATTGGTGGCATTAAGCTGAGTTATGAGGTTTTTACAATCTAGCCACTTATGAGAAATCTATTAACAGTAACTGGACAGGCAGAATGCATCTTGACAGAGAGCAGAACGGGCGTTAATTGGGACAATCCATAACAGGACAGGGACCCGCAAGGTTTCATCAGCTGTCTTCATTTGCTCCCTGCAATTTCTGCTTAGAATCAGCAAAGTTCTCCCACCAACTCAAAAAAAAAGGAAAAAAAAAAAAAAAAAAAAAAAAAAAA